AGGGAGAGATGGGGAGTGGGAGCTCCATTTCAGAGCTCCCCAGCTTAGGCAGTGCCAGAAGTGCGTGCTCTACTTTCATAGATTCATAGACTGTAGAGTCGGAAGGGACCACGAAGGATCGTTGTGTCCGACCCCCTGCCCCAGGCAGGAAAGAGCACTGAGGTCATACGACCCCAGCCAGGTGTCTGTCTAGCCTCCTCTTGAAGACTTCCAAGAGGCAAGGCAACACCTACTTGCCTAGCCTTTATTACATTACTGGCACTGACACTTTGGTCCAGATGCCCACCCACTTGCATTCACTTCTTTGTCATTGACTGTAAGCGTAAGGCGATACTCATTGCAATCAACAGATAGACTCCTGCTGATTTTGATGAGCAGTTGGATGCAGCTCCTGCCATGCTGCAATGAGATAGGACAGTGGTTTTCAACCTTTGGCCCATGGACCCCTGGGGGTCTGCAGACTATGTCTAAGGGGTCCTCACCTCCATTCAAAAAAGGTTGAAAACTACTGAGATAGGATACAGGTGCAAGGCAGCTTGGTGCACCCTGTATATCAGCTCAGAGCAGCTGCCTGGGATCTGAGGGACTAATGACCCTGGTGGCACTGCCTTTGCATAGCACTGCATCTTTCAAGCCTCCCCCACAGTAAGTAACAGACATTGGGAGTGGATGAAAGGTTCCTGATTGACCTAGTTGTAAATCAGAAGCATCTTCCTTGGGAGTTGCCCATGACATCACCTTTCAAAGTGTTAATGTTAATGCGAACCATTCAGTCTGACTCATAAAACATAAAAGATGCCAGAGAGAGTTGGTTTAAATCCCTTCTCTAGGGATGACAAGCTGGTGTGCACTTCCAGGAGGCCTGCAAAGCATTCTGCTAAACTTCCAAGAGATGCTGTCTAATGCTTAGGGCAGCTGTGTTCGGGAATCAGGCTGCCTGTGTTTGTTTCCCAGCTTTGGTACTGATTTTTTGGCCTTAAAGAGAAGTCACTTTTCTCTTCTCTGCTACTCAGTTTTTTCATCTTCAAAATGGGTGTGCTGCTCTCAACCTGCCATCCCAGGGATGATTCACTACTCAGTGCTAATGATGTGTGGGAGAATCTTCTCTTGACATCTCAAGATTAATGGGGTTTGCAGAATGTGTTGATTGCAAGTGAGAATGAGGGGAGAGTGAGCTTTCCTATTGTTTAGCCAAGGGGAGAGTGCAGGGAGCTGGGAACGTGAGCTGGGATCTAATCCCTATTATTGATTTAGGCCTTCCATCCCACCTCTGGGGGCCAGTTTATGATCTCTAGATGGCTCCAAGTGCCACGGGGACATTTCACCCTCCACCTAGTGAGAGATCAAGCTGCCCATAAGCTCATACAGCTGTTTGGATGGGCTG